GGGGTGTTGTCAAAAAAACATGGAAAAGCAATAAAATTGTATCATTGAATTGATACCAGAGATTATGCGCATACTACATTAAAGGTATAACCGCTATCTTCAATGCTAGCAAGTATTGACTGAATCGAAGACAGCTAGCATGTATCATATGTATGTATTTCATAATAAATACATACATATTTGTAAATGGAAAACTTTTTGTCTCTCTATTCACAAATTTATATTTCAAAGTTTCATTTAGGTTATGACTATTCTTTCCTTTTATTATTTAGTATAAGTGATTAAGATCATTTTATTTGGTTTTGGTCAATTTGTTTTATGATAGGGTTTTGTAAGATTTGCCTTTATTCAAGTTGCAATTCAAAGTTTCAGGACTTTTATTAAAAACGAATATTATTATTATTTTTTTTAATTATTGGTCGCCTTCAAAATAGTCTCCTTCCGCTGAATACAACGTTTGCGCGTTCAAGAAAGTTATAGAATGACTTTTTAGGTCATTTGTCGGTATAGCGTTGAGGATGGCGGTCGTCGCTTTTGGATGGCATCAACGTCACATAGCGGTTTCCTTTCATGCCCAATTGTAGTTTTCCGAAAGAGTAGAAGTCGCACGGTGCCATATCAGGTGAATACGGGGAGTGGTTGATTGTTAATTTGATTTTTGGTCAAATAATCGGCCACATGCGTCATCGATGAGACCGCGCATTATCGTGCAACAAACGCCAACTCCATCTTCGTGCTACCAAACGCTTCAAAACTCAAGGTAGAATACCGCATTAACGTTTTGGCCGGGTGGAACAAATTCTTTGTGGACAATACCCTTGGAATCATAAAAACAAATCCGCATTGTCTTCACTTTTGACTTCTCAGGGCGCGATTTTTTGGGTCCTCACGACCACTTTGAAAACGTTTAAGCCACTCCTGAATACGGCTACGGAATAGACAATCATCGCCATAAACTTGTTTCATCATTTGATGAGTTATGGTAAAAGTTTACCAAAGTTTAAAACAAAACTTAATGTTGGCTCTTTGTTCGATGCTCATTTTCCGACCGACACTACAAATGTAATGTCACATGTAGCGCGATATCTCAGCTGTTATACAAGTCAGCTGTTGTAAAAATTTTATACGACAACACTGAAGAATACACAATTGAGGGATAACAATTTCAGACAGATGGCGCCACTAGAAGCCGCGTTGTTTAAAAAATCCTGGAACTTTTGAATTGTACCTTGTAGACTAAATTCAGCTCTAAATGCTCAAACGTAATTCAAAACATTTTCTAACGCATGGCGTTTAAGCAAGTGTTTTGATGTCAAAGCATCCTTGAATTTATATCAAAGCTAGCCGTTTGCTGGGATGTATCGTTGCTCAAGCACACATTACCTTTTCCCTGAGACAAATAAAAGCTATTCACATTTAACTATACCTGTTTATGTACACAAGTATATTTGAATAATATATATTTATATAAAAAAGTCAGATCATATTACGAAATATCAGCATTTAACCTACTTACATAGGCTATCTTATATTTTTTTTAACATTAGTGTACAATCGCTTTTCGGCTTTCGCTAATTTATCATTGTTTTTATAAAGTAAATACAAAATGTTTTGAAAATCCAATATATTTCTTTCTCCACTATCACAACTATCAAATACATGTGCGATATAAAATTAACTTCTAATAAAGGATAAGCTTATGCTTAAGGCACATGCACCGAGTGGATGTCCGCTTGAAAGTCAGCGATAATATAAACTTGCATAGGAGTATAGATTGTATTGCCAAGGTACAATGGTGTATTGAAAAAAAGATTGTGGAACGTTCACATACACTATTTAAATAAATATACATATGAATGTTCGTATATGTTTTTTTTAAGGATGGAAAGAAGTTTTAACTTATATAAATTCTTTGTGTGTTTAATGTCGATGTTGTAGTGAGCGCATTTAAATTTATTATACGAGCATAAGTTGTTCTTTTTATGCTAATGATATATATTTATATACACATATTTATATAGGTCTTCTTCTGGTAAATATACATATGGATATATACATATACATATATATACCAGAAGAAGACCTAGATTTGAATGTTGTCTGCTTTGAATGTATGTCTAAAGCTTCGCATTAAAAACTGTTATCAAAAAAGCTAACACCTTTGAGTTTCTCATTTAAGTAATTAGATTCTTGATTTACCTTTATTCCATATAATGGTATTTACATTGCAAATATAAGTAAAACATGTGAACGAAAACTAGAATAATAGAAGAAATTTGTATGTTTAAAATTTATAGTTTATCGATTTTTTGTATATACTTGTATACTATTGTTAACACTCATTCTAATCATAAAATCGCAACAGCAGATCGTAATGGAATAAAATGAATGAATAATTCAAGAAAAATCATTTGATACATTTGCAAAAATAACAACATATTGGACTGATCTACAGTTATTAATGTACAAAAACTGTATTTAATCCAAAATAATAGATTTTACTAAACATATTCAATAAGAAAAAAACATTATTCCACAAATTTTTTTAAACCATTTAATCAAATGATTATAGTACCTAATCAATTCTTAATTTTCTGTTTCGAAGGATTTTTTTTTTAATTTAAAGCCACCGGCTCAAGCAAATATTATAGGACATATCAGAAGAAAATAAATCGTTTCTCTAATCCTCGAAGAATTGTGTATTTTCCAATTACTTTTATTGCCCACATCAAATAATTTCAATCTCCTAAGAAGTATTTTTCAGTTGTAAATCGATTTGTTATGCTTAGACATTTTAGGATATTCAGGAGCTGGTTGTTCTTCTGTCTCCTCGTGCTGTGATTTCGATTAAGAGTACCGGTTTTTTCCAAAATTCATTAAAAGCTTTCATATAGTAGATTTACTAAAGCCGACTTTAACGCAGTCGTTGATTACTTTCTCCAGCTACTGTATATACACATGCTATTTATACAACTAGGTGAAATTAAGTTAAGATAGTACAGTCGTTATTGCTTTTAATTTATTAAAAGCTTTGTATAACATACCTTTTTATGATTTAAAAATTCAGACCCCTAAGGCCTGATTTTGATTTTAAAAAATTTGGTTGCAAAGTTAACGTAACAGTTTACCATACTGCCTGTAGATAACGTGCTTTATAAATGATAATTATGATAAAGTTAAGCAGTTAAAGAGTAGTTAATACGTAAAACATCCTTTTCTTTAAGATTATTACAATATTATATTTAACATAAGTTATAATATCGAAAAACCTATAGAAAGGAATTTTGACATTGCCTAGAATTAAAATTACGAGTGTACTCGCAAAACTTCATCCAAATTAAGTTAATACCTAATAAGTAGACATGTTCTTTTTTTTTTTTTTTATTACATTAAAACTTGTTTCGACAAAGTTTTCCTAACAAATATCAATTTTGCATTTTTGTTGAATGTTTGTAAAGTGCTTAAATTGACAAATTCTAATTGATATTAGAGAGCTTATATAATGGTAGAGTAAATAGCTTTGGGAAGCTTTTATTATTAAATATTGGTGCTCGCCATAAAATCGACAAAGCTATTTGTTCCCCTTAATTGTGTATGGAAATTGTTTCGCAATGTTATTATTGTATTATTGCGTTTAAATGTGTTCAGTCAAAAGGCATAAGAAAATATAGGCTTTTTACAAAAAAAAAAATTATTTTATTTTCCAAAAGTATTATATTAATTGTTTAAAATCAAAATTTTGTGTAAATTTAAAAATTTTTATGTATGTATGTATGTATATAGTCAAATACACACAAACCAAACACTGAACCTTCACAATACTAATCAACTTATGTATTTTTTTATCAATTCTGACCTATTTGAACGCACTTAAATATCTTGGGACACCTGTAAACTTTTGTATAAAACACAAACAAATGCGAAATGCTTGCCACAAACGAACTATCTAAAATTTTCAAACATCATTGCTGCACAAACAAAAATTGCGTTTGCTTTTATTAAATTCACAAAAGGAGTTACAAAGTAGTACAGACACAACGGATATCTTAAAGCCAGCACCATCTTGGAGTAATGTAGCCATAAAATTGCCTACTCAACAGCAATTAGCTGTCTCCTCATCATCTTCATCGGCTGGTGGTGGCAGTTCGGGCAGTGCTGGCGGCATGGGTACAGCCATTGGCATTTTTGGGCGGACAGTTGAAGGGGCCCGGCCTAGTGTGGGTGGCATTTCTACTACATCGACCTCATCGATGCAACTTAAAAAACTTACTGACAATGTCAAAAATGTAACAACAGCAGAGATAGTCGCAGTGAAAGGGAACACAGGTAGCACAACGCAAAGCGGCAGCACAGACGAGGAAGCTAAAGGTAAGTTCATAAGGAGAATGCTACAAGTTGGTACTATCGGTGGCCAAAGAGGGACAGAGGAGTAAAGCTTCAAGCTTGTATTATGTGCAATAGGCAAATGCAAAAGCAGACTTTCTACTTATGTGCATGTACTCAATATAATTTTGCAAAGTTACATTGAATTCATTCTCGAGTGGTTCGACTAGTGGTCATAGATATACATATATATTTCAGCGCAACATTCGTTTTGCTGGATCAAGGTTCTAGATAGATTTCACGTAGTTAAGGACACTGCAGAGCCTTAAATAAACTAGATGGAAAGATTTCGAGTACACCTTGGGTGATGAGTATACTTGATATTATTGGGAGAAATGCCAAGCATATTCCAAGCAACTTCGATACCAATATAATCTTATCTGAAGCTGTAATGGCCACTTGAGAGAGTACCTAGCATGCACAGTCTCAAGTCTTACAATTTTTTTATTTAGATACGTAGTGTAATTCTCAAACTATTCTCTAATGCTTTCCAGTTGACAAACCAAACCTCTTTCCAATCCAATGCAAAAATAAATCACTACACTTGAGCTCGATTATACAAAGTACATGTAAATATGTAATATAAGGTTGTCAAATATCTCCGCTTTTTTGTCTTTTGAATTTCGCGGCTATGTACAAAGCGCTACAGAGCTCGTATCTGGCAACACAATACATAATTTGAAAGGTCTTGACATAACCTACCAAACATCGCTATGCATGATTAGTTTGGATATTGCGTTCAACAGTTATAGACGTGTAAATTTAATTAATTTGTAAATGTTCTTACTGAAAAATAACGAATTCATCATCATACATAATTACTTAAATATAAAGCGTTGTCAAACATCCCTTCCTGCTTTTTGCTTTCATTCAATGCTTTAGTAATAAGTGATCGGATTTGTTAAATATGTGCCGTTTGTTCGATGATCTGTTTCCATCTAGACGGCACCCTTCATGGACTACCTTCCTCGTGTAGCCTCCTTATTTGTTGCGTGAAGAATTTCGCATCTTCTTCACGCTTCTTTGAGTTCAACTTACACCTAAGGCATTCATGACAGAACAGGTGGTAACTCACTGAATGCTACGTCCGGGCTATATGGTGGATGCGATAAACCTCCCATCGGAGCTCCGTGTGTTGATGAGTCATCAACGAAGTGTGGTCTGGGTGTCCTGGTGGAACATACACCCTTCCTACGGCCAATTTGACCTCTGGTCGATCGCCTGCTCGGCATGGTCCAGTTGTGTCAGTAGATGGTAGAATTGCGTCTGCCATATGGAGCAGCTCATAGTGATGATTCTCCTCAATCCCACCAAACAGTCGCAAAACCTTCCTGCCGTCAATCCCGGTTCCTACCACTGTTTGGGATTCGATTCACCGGCCTTCACCACACGTTCTGTCTGCTTGATATTGTCGTTGTGATCCATTTTCGTCGCCAGTCACCATCCGTTCAAGAATGGGACGAGTTCGCTCATGTTCAGCAGTCGCAGGCGTTGATTCGGTCCAGTGTTTTTTGTCAAACTTATGCGGCACCATTCACATCAAACTTTTTGTATCCATTTCTGCAGATGGTTCAAATGGTTTAGACTAACTCCATCTCCTTGGCGTTGCTGTGAGATGCCAATGTGGTCTAACTCGATGTATTCCAGATTTGATCGGTATTTGTCGTCACAGGTCTTCCGGGGTTATCCATAGTGTCGTTTTCACCGGCTCTGAATCGTCGAAACCATTCTCCGCGGTTCGAAGTGATAGAGTACATCCAAAACACCATTAATTCACGGAACGTTTCTTAGCGGATTTGGTTCTTTAACGAAGGAAAACTTATAAATAGCGCGAATTTCGGCGTTAGTGAACTCCGTT